GTTGAGTTCCCGCTCTGGGACTTCTCCATTCCCACACTCACTCACCAAAGACAAAGTTGTCAGGACGGAAGATCTGTCCAAAGGGGCCGGAGCGCACAGAGTCCATGGTGCCGGGTTCCAGGTCCACGAGGATGGCACGTGGGACATACTTGTTACCTACAAAGGGAACCAGCACCATCGTTACAGCCCCAGAGTTGGTAACCAGTGTTACAGGATCCCTGCTGTTCTCCCATCCACCTCCCTGCATTTCACTGGAGAGACACACTGTCTCAATCAAGACTACTGTATTATCGGTGCCTTTCTGAAAACAAAGGTCTTTTAGAGGAGCCACTGGCAGATGACAGTTCTTGTTCAGGGATTTTTCCAGCCTCAATGAATTGGCATGCCTGCCCCATTTATTTAAGGACATCTGAGGAATCAGGCACACTTACCAGCAGCTTCATTGTAGTAGACATTGATCCTCTCCAGCTGCAGTTCACTGTCCCCGTGGTAGCTGCCTGTGGGATCAATGCCATGCTCATCGCTGATGACCTCCCAGAACTAGAAGAAATTTTTGAAAAATAGCAATTAGCTATTTCCAGTGCCAGTGGAAACAGCTGGCCAATGCCAATCACACACACCAGTGCAGTCTGTGCATACCACGGCCCTGACCACTCCCTTGCATGGCAGAGCAGCTGCTGGGCAGGAAGGTGAGTCAGTACTCAAGGGCTTCACTGGCCACAGCAGCTGAATTAACGGAGTGCAGACAAGAAGGCAGGGCACTGAAGCAGAAGTTAATTCGTTTGTAGCTCGTATCCAAAGGATGACCCTCCCTGGCTATCTCAATTTGTCCTCCTCCCATTGTCTAGCCTTGGCTTAAGACCTTGTAGCCATTACAAGATGGCAACACCTGCACACCGTCGGTGGAGGCGGGTGATCCACGACACTGACACATCTCCCGTTCCCCCTCCCTCGGGAGCCGACGCCGTGGCTGCAGAGGGGCGAGGCAGCGAGGGGGTTTCCGCGGCTGCCTGCGGAAAGGCAGAGCAGCGCCGGAGCGGGGCGCGGGCACATCCCAGCCAGCGCCCAGCCCCGAGGCGCCTCACACAACCGGGAACAGCGGGCACAAGGGCAGGAACCGCGACGCCTTAGCAAGTTGCCCCGGGGCGCTTCTCGTTTCGGGACGGAGCTGCTCGCCACCCGCGGGGTGCGAGCCGTGGGGAGCGCCCCGCTTCCCGCGCCGGTCCGTACCTTGGCGCCGATCTGGTTGCCGCACTGCCCAGCCTGAATATGCACGATTTCACGCATGGTGCCTGTCTCTGAAGCTGCTGCTCCTGCCGCCTCTTTCGCCGCCCGCTCCCGCACTCACCGCTGCGGTGGCCGCGCCCCTCGC